CGTAAATTAGCCATCGTAAAGGGCAAAAAGCTGACGTTTCGAGCGTTAGCCCTTCGTCAGAGCGATTGCACAGCACGTGCGGTTTTTGTAACTTTGTAAATTTCTTTGGCGTCCTTTGTGAAACAACAACGTTTAATCACCAAAATTGGTGTGGTCTGAGAACAGAACCCCCCACCTCAAATTGTTTGAGTTTCCATTTGGAATTCAACGCTGCTTCCATACGTTATGTTTAAGTTGGGGTGTGGCACCGTCAGAGAAGGTTAACACATTTAGCCACTCGCAAAATTTATAACTGATGAAAATTAATTTTTATAATCAACGTCTCCCCAGGTGTTGCCTTCCTGGCTGCTTCAGGCCCTTTAGAATGCCCACTAACAAAACTCCATTGGTTTTCCTCCTTTCTAATCCATCCCTCAGTTATTTCAAAGATTTGACGTTCATAGTCATTACTTTGTGCGTGCCGAAGCTTTACCACATTTGTCTCCTATGTCCATCTTAATCTCTTAAGCCGGCGACACACCTGGTGATTTTATACGCCAATGGCGGCGATCGGCGGAGGTTGCCAGGTGTGCGCGGTGCGGCCATTGCGATATTCGCCGATAGCGGCGATCAAATTTCTCTCCATCAGCGAATAAAATCACCAAGTGTGTCGCCGGCTTTACTGATTTTTGTTTGCGTTTCTCTTTACACTTGCGAATTCGAACTGATAGTTTTATCAATGTGTCACATGAGAGGTAATTTTGGCTCTAGAAATTTGCAAATGACCGGAATGATAAAGAATTTAAATTGTTTGTATTTTTATGAATAGCCTCTCAGCTCCTCGGTGAAGCTTTTGAATAAAACGGTAAGACGACCCTAACATACTTTTAAAGATGAAAAAAATCGATAACTCTACCTGGTGAAATATTCAGTTGCAATGTACTGAACCCATTTTGTTTTAGCCTCAAAACAGTTCATGGATCAATTCATGGACGCTGGAAACACCCTTTGTGGTAGAAATATGAGTTTAGGGCCATTGTACTTCTCCCTATGCAGGTTCTTCGATCAGGAAACAAGACAACCCTTGTTATCCAGGACTGTGTAAGAACGGTGGCGTATGTCGTGCTAAAACACCCGATGAAGGCTATGGTTATTACTGTTTGTGTATTGAAGGTTTCGGAGGAGATAATTGTGAAATACGTACAGGTAAATGGACGGGGGAAATATTATGTACTTATTGATTGAGTGGGAGGGTCGGACAGGAAAATATTTGGCTCCGTGCGTCATGAACGAGTACCAAATATTTTCCCGTGCGACCTGACCTAATCCAGTCAATAGGCATTTTTCATTTGGCAACTGACTCAGTTTTGACAAGTTTATCACATCTTTGGTATTGAACATTTTGAAAAGTTTGATTTTATTCACTTAGGACGGGAAAAAGTGCGCGAGAAAACCACGAAAATGATTCTACAACAAAAATTTTTCCTGTTTTCAAGTCAGAACAAGAAAAAAATTCATCGAAAAACCTGACTCATTTTTTTCATTTTTGTTTACTGCTGTCACCCACTTGCAACAACAGCGAACAAGGAATTTTTTTGAAATTTTACAACAACGCCATGCAAGTGCGTTAGGCCGGACGGCTTTTTACGGACCGGTTCACGTTAACCCGTTCGGCCTTACACATGTTTGCTTTCACTATGGTTTTCTATGGGATTTCGCGGGCTTGGCCGAACGGGTATATGATAATTATGATGATCACAAACATCATAACTCGATTCATCGTTATATAAATTAGTGTCATGATAAATTTTACCTGATCTCTTTATAGGGCTCTGTGATATACCCTCGTTTGCAGTTAACTGGTAGTCAATTTTCTAAAGTTCCCCTTTTACACTCTGTTGGCGAAGACTGATCACCACCCCGTTCTCTCTTAGACCCCTCCCCCCCAGTAGGAGATGACTGGTCCCTAATGAATCGCAGCTCTGTGTAGGGAAACGAGTCAACGATCTTACCATCTCTCCTTGTGCAGGTACACCCATCGTAAAGAGAAACAGCCCTTGTTTCTCAAGACCATGCATGAATGGAGGCGTTTGTCGAGCTAAAACGCCTGATGAGGGCTTTGGATATTACTGTCTCTGCCCTGAGGGCTTCAGAGGGAAGAATTGCCAAGAAGGTAAACTTAGCGTGCAGCAAATGTGATAAAAACATCCAAAGAATCATCGCTTTTCTCGAACGACAGATAGCTGTACTCTATTACAACTTATGGAGGCACGTTACGTTTCACGTATAAAGGCATGCGTGTCAGCTCTATTCGCATTTTTCACGAAGGTCCAAAGTTAGCTTATCAGCGATTTCTGGAAAATCATATAAAAATTTTTCCCACATACACTTCTTCACAGACTTTACCCCCTAAAATCCATCTTACGTGAAATAGCTGAGACGATTGATCTCATGTCGAGAAGTATTATAGCCTGCGAGCATGCAGGCGCTCATTATTGACGCATAGGCACAAGCGTTTCATTTCCTGCGGGGGAGTATAAAACCTTGAACAAAGCCAGCCAGCGAGAATTCTAGAGGGCGTCTAACACTCTTTATTGTTACCACTCGTCTCATATCTTCCTGCGGGCGGAGAAACACGCGTACTTAAGGGACTTTTATTCATTATTTCACATCAATCTAATTCAGTATTGATTTAATTCCTTGTGACATTATGCGTCAGGTTTACCGATCTTTTTATTAATTGACAGGTGGAAGGTAAAGAATATGGACACATCTTGAGAAGCAAATTAAAGAAATCTTTGCTCCTTAATAAAATTTGTCTTGGAAATGAGCGTTCTTTCTTTAGTTTATCATAAAAAGTGGTAACAACATATTTCTTTAAATTTTAAATGCCAAATATTTCAAATTACAGTAATAAATAACTCCCACACAATGCCTCGAGTAGCAAATTCAAGAATAACTGTGACACTAGCCCTTCGAATTTTCAAATCGAAGAATTTTGTATTTTGAATATGCTATATGAAAAAAAATATGTGAACTGCGAATCAATTAACGAATGAAAGTGATCATTGCAGTAATGAAAATAAGACCTGAAAAAAAATTCAGGTCTGTAAAGAATTTGAACCCATGACCTCTGCGATACCAGTGCAGCGCTTCACCAACTGAACTAACAAGCCAACTGGGAGTTGATCATTATTTTGGTCCGTAATAAACCCGTGAAGCGATGAATCAATGACAGCGAACATATGAAAACCACATATGTGAACCGTAGATTAAGGAATGAATGAAAGCGGTCATTTTGTATTCTCCTCATAATAATTTTTTTATTTCCCTGACACCTTGTGCAAAGTTTGGAACCAATTTCTGGGTTAGTTGCATTGGGAGTGCAAGCGAAGATAACATCCATACGGGTGAGTGGCAATTAAAAAAATTGCAGGAACTGCGAAGCCTGAAAAAAGTTCAGACTTCAACAGGATTGGAACCTGCGCCTCTTAGATACTAGGTGAGGGTGGGTGGGGGGTAATTACCTATTGAACTACAAAGCCACATGTTGGGAGTGCTTGCCTCAAAATCTGTCTTAATGTTAAACTCTGCAACGTCGATCATATTCAGTTGATACTGAGCTTTCCAGAGAAGTCACGGACGAAACAATGGAACAAAACCAATGGGGAAAAGTGACGTCTTCATCAATTAGCCTACCTCTACTTCCGTCTAGAAATAAAGAGCTTTGGTAAACTCTGTTCAGAGTATTTATCTCTTAAAACATAAAATGATAAAGAAAAACAAATAATGACCAAGGTGATGATTGCTTCTAAGAACGTGTACGTGTCTACGGTCTTGAAGTTTAAGCACAACATGTGTTGTTTTCAAAGAGAACCTGCTAACGTACAGGAACCTCTACTTAAGTCAAATATCATCATTATATTTCAAGTCACGTTCTCGTTACGTGGATTTTCCTTTCGGCATCAAGCCTGCCCACACAAGATCTGTCAAACTTGATGTTCTATAGAATAGAAATATGTTTTGCTAATTTTCTATTCATTTATGCGAGAATGTGCCGCCAAGCATTTTCCCTCACCATCGCAAAGGTAAACACGGAAGCTGCTTTCAGTTTCCTAAAGCAAACAAAACTAGACAGGTTTATTCTATGAGATCCTTTTAAAGGCGGCAAAGCTTTTCTCTTCATCAATCAAGATTATTAATTTTGATCTTGCTATACTCAATAAAACCAAATCAACTGCGCCCTCTCGCCGATAGACCCAGTAGAAATGTATGGGAGGAAAATCTGAAGAGACGATTCTAATACTCCATATTTTCTTCAGTGAAAATCCTCTTTCAACTCATTGTCTGCAATGTAAATGGAGAACCTTTAAGATTTTAACAGCTGTCAACAAGGCAATAGATCGTACAAAGATCACCCGTGTCATAAATACGTACCGCTGAGTCGATTCCCATGAAATAGGAGAGCTTAAACTGCTTCAGTATTACGTAGTTGCATGCTGTGACAGAGATTGACCTCTGTCTTAAGGACTTAAAGAAGTATGGCATACTCAGTGCTGCGTTTATTTCTCATTTTTGGCCTTCACTTTTCTCGGTGCTACTCAAAGCCTGTCAATGACGGGAATACAAGAGACGCAAGTAAGTAAGGAACTTGTTGTTCATGTTATTGGAAAATGTAAAAGAAAGGTTCATAAACTTTTATTGGTTTTCATGGCAAGCCAAAGCCGGATTGGTATATTTTGAATAACTGCGTAGTGCTTACATACCTTATTATTTTATTAAATTCCCATCCAGCTAATGTCGTTCTTGATGCCATTATGTTTTGCTTGTGTTTCCTCAGTAAAGGTCGGCAGTGGGGTTATAGGGTTGGACGACCGCTATTGCTCAGTATGGACAAAATTGTCAAATGTTTTCGTGTGGTCCTTGCATGTCGCTGCCCATAATAATCGGTCGTGGAGCTATCTTCTTAAGCTAGATCCTATTAACACAATCCACCGACTGTTGTCATCAGATCATTAATAGTATTTAATGTCTGCTCTTCATGTCACGCTAAACGTTCAAAACCACCAGGTTTAATCTTTATGATTGCACAATATCCTAGAAATAACGATCTGCTATTGCTGATATTGCTGTGCTAAATGTAAGATAGCTCACTAAACAAAAGATCAGTATTATTCCAATACTGGCCGAGGCCATTCTAAGCTGTTTCAATACGAAATAAAAGTAAATATCGGGGCCATGTTGGGAAATTTCCGGATGGGACATAAATTATAGTTAGGCATTCTTTACAAATTTCATTGTAACTATAACACGTTGAGCAAAAATTCCTTTTCAGACGGACAGGAGAGAGATTCGCCATACGCGATGAGAACTAAATTGGATGAAATTGCTAACAGAGGTGGGTTGGAAGCACGCAAAGGAATTGATTCTGTGCGAAAAGACACCTTCGAAAATGGACCGTGCTATGGACAAAATGTAAAACAGTCAGTTCAAGGATTTCACTTATCTGAGCGGTCGAAAGATTACAATTGGAAGCAAAAGAGATAAGAAAACAAAATTCAAAACAACTTATCAAAGTCTATGATTAAGAGAAATTAAAAACATACTGTAGTGAATCGGTGTTTCAAATAGCTCAAACACGCTTCAGGTCAAAGCAATGAAACCGATTGCTATGTACACGGATGTGTTAATTTTTCGAGAGTTATTCCCTGTTATTGTTCTCCCTTTTACAAGTATCCATAACCTTTGGCAACTCTGACTAACCCTTAAAGTCGTACCAAGCAAACGGCAATCATGGCAAAAAGTCCTTCGAACCATTTTGAAACTACGCTCGACGATCATGTAATTTATATGTCTTATTAAAAAAATTTTAAAAAAAAATCACCTCATTTAACCTAGACATTGTCAGTTGAGTAAAGAAAACCATTCTCTCCTTAAAGGGAGAGGGGGGAAAGACTGTTGCCCGAGACCGCGATTCTAACTTGTATGCATGCACACTGAGGGAACACGAACATCATGATCAGAATCTAAAAAGCTCTTCACAAACTATTGGCCATCCTGAAACGACTAAATCTTGGGTTTTGATTTCAGATTATGAAACAGTACATGGTCGCATCTTAGCAGTCAACATGGCGCATCTCAGGAAAAAAAGACAAACAGCGAACATAGAAACTCAGTCAGGAGGAACGGTGTTTGACAGAATAGAGGAAGCGAACAATGGTACCACCCAAGTCCAGTATTAAATATCTCTTCAAAGTTTGTTTCATATCCGCAGAAACTTCGCGGAATTTTCAGGCACAACAAATCCTAGAGATGTAGCATTAACAAGAAACTAGCCAGGGATTTTTGAACCGATTCGCACGTTAGCTTTGGAACACAAGGATGTTGGCGACCCTTGACCTTTCTGTGAAGGAGAAGATTCCTTTACCAATCCCAAGTGTTTTATAGTGCATTTACCCCATGCACCATGGCTTACTAACTTTGTTTTTTGTTTTTTTTGTTTTTTTTTTGCTTCGTTCTACATTTATTTTAATTCCTAATTGTTTGATGGTTTATTTTTTCACACAATACCCCTGAAGACCGCAAATTGAATTTCAAACTAATATCATAGTACATTTGGATCAATATCAGTATCAGGGAAACTGCCCACCTACCCCTCCCCTAACCCAACATTAACCTTAACTTGTTGTCAATTGACTGTTGTTGAGTTAGGGGAGGGGTAGGTGAGCAGTTGCCCAGATACTGATATTTATCTGTACATTTTTGTGTGATGTCTTGGCCTACATTTCAATGCGTAACAAACCGCCTTTCATACCCCTCCAGGAAACATTTCACAATTCTACCAAGGCGACATTGTGCTGGATCCTGAGTTGAAGGAGTATATAAAAACTGGTGGCAACTCGCGAAATGCAGTAAGAGGTCGTAAAAGACTGTGGACCAGTCGCATCATACCCTATCGGGTCCCTTCGCACATGGGTATGTTTATATTCAAGGATATTTGGCTTATGGACCACTCATTACTTATCAGGGAGGAGGGGGAAGGGGTGAGGGCGGAGGATTTTGGGAAGGATACTATGGTTTCTTTCTTCCTTTTTTCCTTTTTTTTTTTTTTTTTTTTTTTTACAACATTTGAAAAGGGGGAATACAAAAGCCAACCCTCATGAGTGATCTTTCACAATTATTTGGCCCTTTTTGCGTGAGAACACAACAAAGCTTCCCGTCTCCAACGAACGAGTTAGTCATCAGTTCAACATGTAAACAACGAACTGAACAGAACAACCATAATTTTTCCTGCGAACGGTAGAACTGACGAGGTGAATTTCCTAGGGGGCTTAGAAAAGCCTATTTGATTTGCGTGTAACCCTTCAAATCGATCACGGAAGTTTGCATGACATTTCTGACGCAAATGCAAGCTTACTGAATTTGATGATAGGATTGATGACATTTCCAATCTGCTGCCAATTAATTGTTGATCAACGAGCTAATTGAAACCATGAACTGATACATATATTTCCAACTTCTGATCTCGTGTTACCTAAAAGAGTGTCACGCAATATGAGTAGAAAGTTCCCAACTGATTGAATAATTACTCATTTCAGCTGGGAAACCTTGAAGATAGATGCAACTGACAATAATTCCTTTTTTTTTCTTTTGCCTTGTATCATTTTGTTTTTTTAAAGATATAACGAACAAATAAACGGAAAAAAAACAAGAAATAGCAACTTGCTCAAAGAAGGCAATTAGGTTTATTGATGGCGGCATCCTTGATACATTTTTTAGGGCAAATGTTTTTGAAAACTATCCAATAACAAAATATTAGTCTTCAAGAATTTCACCGCTTTCTCTTCACTTTTTTTTTTAGGTCATATAACTTCAAATGTCCGTGTGGCCATTAACGAGTTTCACAGAACGACATGTTTACGATTTGTAAATTACTACAGTGGCTATCATAAAAACTACATTGAATTTAGCAATAAAGATGGGTAGGTAACGCTCATTTTGAAGGGCCTGCAGCAATTATTTCAACAGAACTGTCGCATCATTTGGAACCACTCATAGGCTAATTAACTAGGTGAAATTATCAACTGAGGCTTTCTTAACTTGATTGATTAAACCATACCAGGATATTAGCTGGGGCTATCCTGAAGTTCCCCTGACCCCATCCCCCTCTCCCTCTCTTTTTTTCTTTTGTTTTTCCTTTTGTTTTTCAATAATGCAAACTATATAATGTATGGTTGGTCAGGAGTACGAGGATGTAATGAAAGAACGTCCCATTTTTATTCCCTTTTTCTTTTATTTAGATGCTCATCCAGGGTTGGAAAGAGATATCATTCCCCTGGTAAACAAATCATCTCCATCGGACCCGGATGTAATAACGTAGGAACCATAATTCACGAGATAATGCATGCCATAGGTGAGTTGTTTGCAGCAGCTTACACTACAGGGCTATTATGGGACGAATTTTGGAAAACCGTAATAGTTTTTTTTTTAAACCCCTTTCCTCTCTATCCCACTGGTGACTGACATCTTTCCAAGCACTTATTAGAGGGTGGGTTGAGTAGGAATTTGTGTGTTAGGGTGTCTGCAGGTTTAAGCTGAAGAGAAAGTGGAGATGAAGCTTTTCATATAGGGTGAAAAAAACTCAGCTCTATTACAAACACATGAATCATTGAAAGGAAAATTTATACCTCGCTATTTTTGTTTTACCACAAAAACAATTATCTTTTTACGCAAAGTGTGCGACTTAATGGAAACAGTGAGGCTTAATTAAAGAGGATTTTAATAGTCTTTGGTTTCACCTTAGATTCATTTGTAGTCATATAAAATCGCCATTAATTGCCAATTACTGTGAACTTTTGCCCTTAAAATAAAACGTCAGCTTTGTAACTCGTTACGGTGGCAAATTTACGTTATCAACTCAGTTGATAATACTTGATTACCCCATCCGACGAAAACCATATTATGGGCCAAACACCACATCCCAATACTTATAAGAGAGTTTTTCTTAAAAATCCCTTCTTGCGATAGGTTTCTTCCACGAGCAATCACGGATGGACAGAGATAAATACGTGAGAATAAACTGGGAGAACATTCTAACTGGTAAGAATCTTCCCTTTTCCGCCACTGTCCGCAAAATTGCTATTTTCTTTTCTTATTTTTCTTTTGAAAAGTTTTGTAAAAGAGGAATCAGCTGACTAAACCTGTTCATATTTGTTTCTTGATGGCAGCAAAGAAAACAACATTTAATGCAACACTTCGTTCGAGTGTGGTTCCTAGCTCACTCCATCATCTTTCTTATTCTGAATCCCCTAAGTACAATACGCGCTGTACTCAAGACACCTTTCAAATAGTATTTCGTCTTGATTGCCAACTAGAATTCCCTTAGTTGAGAGCTAGAGTACCCTTTCCTACACCAGTATCACCACGCTTTCTCAGGTTTTTCTTTGTCCCAGACTCTTAGAAAACGATTTTGTTATCATTATGATCTTTTTTTAATTTTAAGGATTCTCAGACCAGTTTGATAGATACAGCTGGAGGACGATCGATCATTTGGGTGTATCGTACGACTATCAGTCTATCATGCACTACGATCGTCTTGCGTTTACAAAAAACGGAGAGCCAACCATCGTTGCTGTTGGGAATGAAAATATGGAATTTGGTTCACCATCCAGGAGGCTCAGCTCAAGAGATATTTTGGAAATAAACGCTCTGTACGATTGCAAAGCAAGTGAGTAAGCATTATCTAATACAGTAAGCAGTTTTTGAAAGTATCGGTTCTGGGACCCCTCATTGATTTCGCCTGTTTGCGGTAGACGTGGGGGGAATTTACCTAACTTCCCCTCCCTTCCTTTGGCTCTGTAGTATTCTAGTGGTCCCACTCATTGGTAGTCAGTTTTCTGTGGTTCCCCCGCTCTATGCTCTGTTAACGATGACTGATCCCCACCACGTTCCCCTTGACAACAAAGAAATCTACCTGATCCTCCCATAGGGCTCTGTAATAATTGTAAGATCCCCCCAATCATTGGCAGTCAATTTTTTTACAACTTTCTATAATCCTTTACATAATCTGTTGACAACCAAGGATGCCCTCTCTGTCCCACCTGAAAACTGAATGATTGCCCCAAAAATCCTCCCCCCCACTCCCCCTCTCCCAGACGATAAATATGACTGGTCCCACAGAGACTAAAGTCGGTTTTGAAGGCGTACTTTGGCCAGTAAGGGCTCCAATTATAGGCTTCAAATGCTGCTGCAGATTCTGTCCTTTCCTCTCAGTTTGGTAAGCTTTAAATTTCCTTTTGTCAGCTACATCGTATGGATGGGCCACTTGGTCTGGATGGACTCCATGTGATGAAAAATGTTATCGAACTCGCGAGAGGTACTGCTATCACTCTGGCAACATCAAGTCTTGTGGGGGAAATGTGAATGGGTACGGAGTGGAAATTCAAAGAGTAAAATGTTCGTCGTCTATATGTCCAGGTAAGCAAAGGACAAATAAACTTTTTCATTGTGTGTGTGTTGGATAATAGTTTATCCAGACAGAGAAACGACGACAGATTCTTATACAATACCTTTTGTTTCTATGAAACAAATCTTTTTATCATAAATTCTAGTTGCTTTCCATACTTTCCCCGACCCGTTGGAGTCAAAGCTGTTTGGATTGTAAGAACGCTCCACGGGGGCAAATTAGAGTAGGTCATGATACACGAATGGTGTTTCTCGACGTCTTCCATAATATTTTGAAGTTGTAACAAAGTGAAATGAAAATATGAACCTGTCTTCTTGTTAAGTTTTGAAAGTTTGATAGCTTTTGTATTAAAACAATCAGATTATTCTGGCGCTCTCGATTTCTATGAGTGAAGTGAGAGTTGATTCGAGAATCGTGCTCATAAGTTGTCACGCTGCACAAATCTCGAGCTTAAGTCACATTGTTACTTAGTGCATGAGGGCGCAGCTCAATAAAAAAAATTCACGCATAGAAATCGAGATAAAGTAATCTTACTGTTTTTGTACACATCTACAAGTCGCCAAACCAAACAACAAGACAAGTTCATATTTCTATAACCGCAATATGTTAGGGTATTCACTTTATATACTGTCTATCACGGAATAAACAGCGAGTAGCATAGCCAATTGCATTGCAGCATTTTTCATAGAACGTCCGTAGCTTTCTACTTAAGCAGAACATTACTGAGGCCTGTCATTTATATAAGGTCTACTACATAACATTTTGATCGAGTGGAAAAGGTTAAGTTAAATGATGTTCATTTTTCATTGCAATGACTGAAGATTTAAAATGTTTTCAAATCTCGAATACTCTCTATTTCCGTATAGCTATTTTTTTGTATTTTTTCCAAACGCCTTTGTAGTATGTACACAAATCAGTGTTTCTCGGAAACTCAACAGAAGCACTTGATCTATCTGGAGTTTAGCCTGCAGTCAGGCTCTCGTGTGGGCTAAAGAAAGTGCAGTGCAAAGCGGTCCTACGCATAACTCTCTCTGCCTCGCTTCTCTCCTGCAACTCAACGCCAACGAAACCCCTACGTTGCTCTTTATGAAAGTTCAGATACGATGTCTGATCGTACAAAATATTTACAGCTCCTATTGATGGACACTGGGGTCGCTGGTCAGATTGGGGAAGTTGCAGCAAAACGTGCAATGATGGTATCAGGAAACGCTTTCGAAGGTGTGACAATCCCTCTCCCGCTCATGGGGGGAAAAATTGCCAAGGTTACGAGAGGGGGCAAGAAATGTGTATTTTGAAGAGATGTCATCTGGGTAAGTGAGAAATGCTTGATACTGAATTCATTACATAAGTAGCTTTGAAAATTTTGGCGAGATTCTCATAACTTTGTATGTTTTAATGCATTATGTACAGTGTAAAGGTTTCATTTTGCATAAGCCAAATAGATGATTATTTAGGTCTTAAAATCTTAAATTTGTAGCTTGATGTCGATTCTGAAGTCGAAACAGGTAACGTAGCGAGTTCGGTGTCTCGGACGTACACCATGTCACGTTTCCACCGCAGCCCTGGTATTTTAGTCAAGTTTTGACTTTGTGGACAGTAACTTCGTCATTAATATACGTGAGGCACCATGGCACACAATCATCAAAGAAGTGTATTTTGTACCACGTGGTACAAGTGGACCAATCACACGGCCGGATTGACATCCAAAACAACGATTTGATGTAACGCAATCTCTTAGTCGCGCTGAAGTATGCTGCTTTCACCCGATTGGTACACAACCATCCCCAATTGCGCAAATTTAATCTATTTGTCTGCCGACGTCATCTTTTCCGAAAAGCCAATAGATTTACGGGAAGAAAAGTTTGTGGAGAACTGTGGTGCACTTTTCATTTTCGATTTTCACTTGACAAGGGTTTTTTTTTTAATGGCTTGGGTCTTCCCTCTGCGATCCAGCAACAAAAGCAATTCAGTTCCCACTTTCCGCGCCAACAATTGAGAGCAAAAGTCGACCAATCTTGCACGGCAAACCCACGTGTATATCCAGAATGGCTTATGATGGCCGCATAATACGATTACTCAGTGGACTTGGCATTTTATCTCTAACTACTGAAAAATAGGAAGATAGAATTTTAAGTTGCGTGACATTTTTTCCAAGGATCAGGAACTGGTATATACATTAGTTGACACTTAGATATGACATTGCGCTATATTTCATTTTCACAAAAGAGACAAACAAAGAAGCACAATCAAGCAAAACGTGAAACAAAACAGAAAACCATTAACAACAAAAATACATCACAAAGAAAGATATTTATTTATTTAATTTTTTTTAAAATCAGAATTATGCTGTTTTTTGTATTTTTCTTTCCAGAAAAAGATGATGTAGATTTTGAAAATTCTCGTCTTGGGATGTGGGGGAATTCTAATACTGACAACCTCAACTGGAATTTTAATCGCGGCTTCACATCAACGATCCACACGGGCCCTGACAAGGATCATACAAACGGTCAAGGTTAGCTTTATGTATACTTACGCCATCTCTATAAAGTTAAAGTTATAAAGTTAATAAGGAGCAAATGCAATGGAACTAAAAAGATTTCTTGCTTGGTAGCGTTCCTATAATGTTAAACAAATTGACCAAAAGAACTATCATCAATCCCAAAGTGTGAAGGAAATATCAAAAGATCGTACAAGATCAGAAAGCGTTCAACATAAGCTGCACAACCGTTTTCTCTGATTTGCTTTGATTTTCCAAAGATTCTCCCGGCCGTCATGATCAGCATCCTGTACTTTGTTAAGTGGTACCCCGGGCAGAACTCAAACTACAATTCACCGTGATTCTTTTCGTTTTTAAGGTGAATTAAGTCCTTCTCCTTCTTTTCTCTGACCCTTTTTTCTTCTGAAGGGAGAGCTTCAGGAGGAAAGATTCTGAAGGGCGACAGAGAGTTTCTGAGACTCTGCAAGAATATTCAACTTCTTTCCAATTCCAATACCTTGGTGTGAGAATTTCATACTGATTAGAACAATTCGCTATATTCACTTCGATTACGAACCGGTCGTTACTCATCGTCTGGAGGAAGGGGGGGGGGAGATCACATGGTTTTCAGGGGGAACAGAGGGGTATCAGTCGTCACTAACAGAGTATATGGGAATACAAAAATTGACTGCCAATGAGGAGGGATCATAAGAATACTACGGAGCCTTAGGGGGGACCTGGTAACCAAAATCCTCTCACCCCCTCCCCCCCTCTAGCGATAAATACATAACCGGTCACCTAGCCAATCATTGTTACTTTTAATTGCTTATATTTCTTTCTAAATTTTGGTTATCTTTTAATTCATTCAGTAATTAATTTTCTATACTTGCTTATGAGTTTGTTGTCATGGTAGGCTTTTACTTGTACGTTGAATCTTCATTAACCCGCCCTGGACAAAGAGCAGAACTTGTGAGCCCCTGGACCCCGGCGAGGAGAGGCGGACAATGCCTAAAATTTTACTACACCATGTACGGTAGTACAATGGGAAGTCTGGCCATCAAGCTACAATTATCAAACGGCAAAAACTGGCTTATTTTCTACAAGCATGGTAACCAAGGGAAAGGCTGGAAGAAAGGGATGGGAAACATCAATGTTCCCCTGGGATTGTCGTATAAGGTAAGGACCGTCGTCGCAATGAGGTCGGAAAATCCCCTTTCATCGTTTTTGGGAATAACTCACAAAAAAGTCTTACTAAGATTTCGCTTGATGATTCATGGTATTGCTAGTTGAACTAAAGGTTACCGACATATTTGATTTTTGACGGTCCATTTTTTTTGTACACTAATACGTTTACGATGAATGCATTGAGTGACTTCAAATTACGCCACGCTCACCACATCGGCGAAGCTTCTAGCAATTGTGCGATACTTTCAGGTCGTACGCACTGATTGGTAGAAGTCTACAGCATAATGCGTTAGTATTGAAAATTAGTGTCGGTGCCTTTAATGTATAAATAGACTTAACTTTGCTCTGTGATTGGTCCAGAAAACCTGCGCCATCCTCTCAACCAATCAGATTCAAAACTAAAAACAACCGCCACTTGGGCACTCGTATCTTCCCGCGCTTCAAACAGGTTTCTCGTTTCACTTTGAGTTTTCATTGGCTAAGGAAAATGTAAACCTTTGTTGTGATTGGCTTGAATTACTTTGGTTTTGGTTTTGGTTTTTATGACACTCATTCAAAAGCTGCTTTATTTACTTCATTTTTTGATTATCTCAGCTAGCTATTCAAGGCACAATAGGTCAGGCTGGATACTCAGATATTGCCATTGATGATGTGTACATCGATCCCGGACTATGCAGTGAGTAATGCTGTTAAGATGTTTCATGTTTTCTCTTAAAACTGAACAAAAAATAAATTTTTTTCAGTAGTGGTGTCACTATTACGACTCCGGCTGGCTATAGGCGGTCAGCTCCGCTGCGATTCTCCACTACGGAGTTACAGAGAAGGCGGTGCTGAGCTAACGTCTAATTTATCTATAACAAACCACTACTGAATCGAACATTAAGGTTATGAGAATACGGGAAATGACCAACCACCTAAGAAGCTCTTGATTGTTTAAGAAATTCTCCTCGGCAGCACCCTAGGAAATGTATAGAGAAAAGTAGGGAGAATGTGCATATTAATGTTAGGATGTAAAAGGTTCATGTAACTCAATCGTTTACTGTCTACCAGAGTGTCAAGATGATTATTACACCTGTCATATCTGGGCGACCAAAGGTGAATGTTCAGCCAACAAAAAGTGGATGAGAGAAAACTGCAAGAGGAGTTGCAATGTTTGCGGAGGTAACTAGGAAAACATCGATCTATCATGTACAGTCCTCAGAAACTTGAAGAGCTCTTCCGAACAGAGCTAACTACCATGGGATAAATATGATATAGCTCTTTCAAGTCTAAAAAATAGAAGAACATTATATGAAATCAAAAATTAAAAAATGGGTCTTACCATTGTTCTTTATAGGAAACAAAACATTACGACTTTTCTGTTTTTTGCATTTTGTTTTTTGTTTTGTTTTATGTGTTTCTTTTTTTGTTTTGTTTTTGCAATAAGGTCGTAGAGAATTGTGGTGTTTTAGTTCATAAACTGCAAAGATTACTTTTGGAAAACTTCAGTTGCTATAAAAAGACGTTGTTATACTTTGCTTGTTTTCAAAAACTTTTGTTCTTATTGTTTTTTTAATGTTAACGTTTTGATTTGTTTTGCTTTTTCACAAACCTTTGTATTTGTTTAATTTCATTAGTATTGATGTATTTATTTACCTCCATTTCAGCTATCAGTGCTACAACACCACCTCCCGCTAACTGTGAGGATGACAGTCAATACAAAGGTCAGTGCCCTGGTTGGGCTAAAATCGGTGAATGTCAGAAGAATCCAGCCTGGATGAAGCTTCACTGTCGAAAAAGCTGCAAGATCTGCGGTAAGCGTTTATTTAACATTATCACGAGGTTATAAAAGAAGTTTCGCAAAGTTCAATGAACGTTTTCAGTGGCTAAGAATTATCTTAGCCTAATGGCTTAGGTAAATGAGAAATTAACCAAAGAGAGCAACAAGACGGAAAGGAACTATCTTTCAATTTCTCAAAGAACACCACTTGGTACCAAATATAAATTAGTTTAAGTCAGGTTTTGATTTTCCTCCACTATCTCTCGTCCCCAAATAAATACGAGGAAAAGTTAGTGAAATTACCTTTGGACGACGTTTATTCACCGAGATCACGTCACGAACGGTGGAAAGGAAAATACAGTAAAATATCAGGCATTTCAATACTCGTTTTTCTATTTCTGAATATCTGGAGAACTGAGCTCGATTCCCTCTTTCTTTTAACACATTTCTCGGAAAAATTAATTTATTTTCTTTTTGCAGCACCTGGTGTAACTGCATGTAAAGATTCGGACAAACGCTGTTCTGCGTGGGCCAAAATCGGTGAATGTACCAAGAATCCATTGTGGATGAAGCCAAACTGCAAGCTGAGTTGCAAGCAGTGCTAAAAAAAATTCTGGTTCAGCTTTAAATAACTTTTCATTTTAATACTTCTGCGGAAGAACCATCTTCTGCTGGAACTGAAAATTCTGGGTGGTAAGAAAACGCAGTGGATTGAAATGAGAGGGGAATCTCGGTGCGGATATCTATCTTACTTTTAGCGAGAATGATTAAAATGTCTCATAACTTCGAGACTGAACCCTGTGATTCACTTTATTAAAAACTGACATTAAATTGCACGTTATCAAAATAATAAAAAAAGTATATTGGGGAAAAATGAAGTGGGAGAAGAAATGCTCTGAACAGGTGAAAACCCTCGATATGGTAGGGAAGGTCGTGGTTACTCATTGTGTCGAATATTCTGATATCA